GCTGAATTACACTAATGAGGGGAGCAGCGGGTGGGTCAGGAGAGGTCTGCCTCGCCATGTGGATCTCCTCCGGGGCAGGCAGGGATTGAACTCTTGCAGAAGTGGCTTAAGCTTCTTTGTGCTTTAACCCTTTGCGCCACCAAGGAGGGCCAGAAGTAGAATTTTTAACAGTAATATATAGGAAGTAGTTAATGGTTAAGTGGAGGGTGTAATTATATAAGACACAAAGACACTGAATCAAATTACATCTCAGTCACACCATGCCAAGTTTGAGACTCCTTTTCACAGTACCACTTTGGATGCAAGTTTGCAACAGCAAGAGAAACATGTAACTATTACAATGGCAACCAGCATTTTATAAAGCATACTGCAGGGAAACAAAAAACGTGAAAATTTTCATTATTAAGGAGTCAAATTAGCATTTGTGGGCATGAAGAGAAAAAAGCACAGAAATCCCTGCATAAGGACTAGCCAAGGTTAAGTAGGACTAAAAAATGGACCAGAACAGAGGCTAAGTAAGCAAAGCCTGGGCCCTGCGATCAGAAAGAAATGGGAACTAGCACAAAACACTTCTTCCTCTACTTTTTAATTACACTACACTCTATACATTTAAGGAGAAACCAACTTACAAGGATGACTTCTAAAGCTGGTAATATGCCCATGTTTGACAATGTCTTGAAAAAAGCATCTCTGTTTTGAGGTTGTAGCGTTTGGGAAAACGCACAAAATTCTTTTAAAAAGTTAACCTAAAATTAGGAAACAGGGTCAGTGAATATAAAAGATCTGTTTTAGCATCATGTCCTTTATAATACCAAGTTACTTACCAACTCCTGTCTTTTTTCCTCATCTGTTGCTTCATCTGTTAATTGTGCAAACAAATCTGTCAGAAATTTCTCATCTTCCTGTACAAAGAATAAATTTAATTACGTTAATAGTAAAAGCAGACTAAAATATAATTCAAGGTGTTAAGGTATATATGGCAGTAACTGGAAAAAGAAAGTAATGTCAATAATGTTTTAGAGGAAAAACTAAACTATTAAAGGATAAACTGAGGATTTATGCAGAAAGAATATTTTTGGGGGGCAAGTCACTGTTTTCTAAGCATATTTAAAGGCCACATTGTAAATATTTGTGTTTCTGTGGGTCACATGGCCTCTGCCACAATGACAAATCTCTAGACACAGTAGGAAGCAGAAAGAGACAATATGTAAATGAGTATAGTAGTGTTCAAATAATGCTTTATTTACAAAAACTGTTATGGACCATAATTTGGTGTCAACTCATTTTTATAGTTTAAAAACCTACAATTAAAGGTAAAGCTTTGTACACTTTCAAAAAAAATTCACTAATTTAAATTCAGAGCTTTTAACGAACATTATTTACTATACCTACTTATTTTAAGTTGAGACATTAAAATTGCAGGTGGTAGAGCCTTTCTGATTGACTGTCATTTCCCCTTACCATTTAAAAACAAGCCTTTGTTATATTTTAATTCTTTAGTTACTATATTTAATACTTCCTCAGTTCTCAATTTCACAGTACCTCAGTAGTTTAGATTTGATACTTCAGCTCTACAGACATACCTATAGTCATGTCTGTACATAACCTCTTTCTAGATGATAAACTCCATATTTGCAGTTCTAAGTGCTCAGGTTACATTTTTTAATGATACAAAATTCATTTGGTTATTATTCTTTTACTTTTCGTGAAATGTACAAACAGACCACACCTCAAATGGCATGTAATTTCAAGACAGATACTAGATATATTCCACCAACTTGAAAGTCTATGATTAAAAAAAAAAAAAAAA